TGCCCCCAGGAGCTGCAGTGCCAGGCTGGGCTGGTGTTCCTGCTGCCCTCCACAGGGAGTGGCAGGGTTGGTGCCGGCCCACTCAGGATGAGCTGCAGCAGGGGCCCAGCAGGAACGGATCCATCGTTTTGCTTCCTGTGTGGCACGATTAATTGCCCAGGTTAATTACCCAGGTTAATTACCTGGCCCTTCCAGTGCTGACACACAGCTGCTTAGAGCAGAGCTGGCCCTTGGAGGTGACGGTGACCCGAGGGGGACGAGTCCTGTGGGAGGATGCGGTGCCACTTGCAGAAACAGCGGCGCTGATGCTCTGATGCCCCATCTCCCCCCATCCTCCCGCTGCTGTGGCTGCCCCAGGCCCCTCAGCTGGGCTCACCCCTCCTGCTGTGTCCTCCAGGAGGATCGAGGACTGCCTGCCCCTGCTGGAGGACTCCCCATCCAAGCGGTTCTCGCCGTCCAAGAGGAAGCAGTACTACATCAACAAAGCCATCCGCAACTCCGACCTCATCCCGAGGGCCAAGGGCCGCAAGAGCCTCCAGAGGCTGGAGAACAGTAAGGACCAGGCAGGGTCTCTTCCCCAGGGCAACCTCCCCTGAGCTGTGTGGCAAGCAGGGATGTTCTGGGGGCAAGGGGCCTCTCTGGAGGTGCTTCCCCCCCTCTCAGGATTTGCTTTTCGCCCCAGCTCGCTACCTGATGACACTTCTGGAGCAGGATGACTGCGGGAGCGACGAGGGAGAGCTCAGCCACTCGGCCACCCCCAGCATCTTCACCGAGGCCTGCAACAATGAGACCTATGTGGAGGTGGGCACAGCCACCCCACTGGCTTGGGGCTGGCTTGGGGACACTGGCGTGCCATGTCATGGTTGTAGTTCACTCCTCCATGCCTCTGCCTCCCTGGCCTGAGCTGCTGCACCGCAGCTTCTGCCTGGTCTGGTGTCAGGCTGGGATCTGTGGGATCTGATGCCATGGGTGCCAAGGGGGTGGTGGGGTCCTGTGGCACATGGAGTGGGGGAATTTCCAGGCAGATCCTGTGGTGGAGAGTTGTGGCTGCAGAGCAGCGGGTGCCTGGTGAGCTGCAGCACTTCCTCTGGCATAAGCCCCTTGCCCAACCCCTGTTGCCTCACGCTGGCCCTGTAACCGGGTGTTTTGAACCGTGCCCTCTCCTGGTGTGGCACTCGGGGCCATCCCTGGGGACAAGAGGGTGAGCAGGGGGCTGGTGGGGCGTGGGGAGGGGTCCTGGGTGGCCGTGCACCGCCAGCTGCTCCCCACAGAGCTCTGCAGTGGGGTTTGGTGGCTTCTGTTGTCAGATCTGGAACGACTTCATGAACCGCTCAGGAGAAGAGCAGGAGCGGGTCCTGCTCTACCTGGAGGAGGAGGCCAGGAAGAAGCACAGGAGGAAGCTGCCTGTCAAGAATGAAGACAAGTGGAAAGGTGCTGGGAGGGGACGCAGGGTGGGGACAGCCTCTCCCTTCCCTTCCTTGTGTACATTCTGGGAGGGCTGCACCCACTCCCTGTCAGTGGTGGGGCCAGGGGATGCTTGAGCCCACCCCTGGGTGTGGGCTGGGGGGTTTATGGACCCCCACCATGGACCAGGGAGGGTTTGTGGGAGCCAGAAGTGGCTGGGATGATGGGCACAGCATCCCCTAATGTCACACCCCCAAGCAAACCCCTGCACCCCTGCACCTCCTGTGCTGCTGGGGAGGGCGTTGCTGTTTTAGGGGTGACTGTGAAGGGGAGGAGCGCCGGGCCCTCCTGAAAGGTGACACTGTGCGTTCTGCAGTTGTGAGCTGTGTCCAAATCCCTTCTCCCTTCTGCAGAGCTCCCAGCCTACACCCCCCAGGAGTGCTTCCAGCGCATCAGCCGCCGCCTGCGCGCCACCCTGAAGCGGGGCCGGATCCCCATGGTGAGCGGGGAGCCTGCCACAGCAGGGCTGGGGCTGGCAGGGGTCCCTCCACGGCCACGTCCCCAGAGCTGTGCCCTGACCTCGTGCAGGGCAGTGCCAGATTTCAGGGGAGCTCCTGGCAACGTGCTCAGGTGCTCGTGTGACCCCGCAGCGGTGGCTGGCTGCAGACAGACACCCAGTTCCCAGCAGATGGGGTTTCCTGGCTCAGCTGAGATTTTTCTGGCAGCTACAGGGCTTTTTTTAGTGGTTGTTTCCCAGTCTCTGTGCAGTGACAGCAGGTGACAGGTGAAACTGGGTGTGTTTGTGCACAGGGACAGCAGTGGAGCCTTTGGGGTCTTCACAGTGGCCCACACAAGGCTGTTTGGGGCAACTTTATTGTATTTTGAAAGGGGTAAAAGTGCACCAACTGCTGAGCAGGAAGGAGGGAGCTGAGTGCAGCCCTGCACTGCCTGCCCAGACACTTGTTCTACCAGCCCTGGGGGTGCTGGCTCCCTGCTCCCTGTGCTCTGTGGGGCTCTGTTTGTTTTTTCCTGGTGCTAATTAGAGCCTCTCAATGCAGCCTGGGCTCCTCCTGCCCCCTGCCTTGTTTGTCTTCAAGTGAGACACGTGTGCTGCTCGTCTCTGGGGTCACAGAGCTCTGCAGAGCAGCAGAGCACTGAGCTTTGGCTGGTGGGAGGCACGAGGCTCCCCTGGCTGCTGTGAACACGAGGGTTGGTGCCAGCCCTTGGCACACACAGTGTGGAGTTGGCAGGAGCTGGATCCTTCCCTGCCTCAGGGGCTGGAGATGGGACATGTCTCCTCTCCCTGCTGGCTCCTGTCCAATTAACTTGCCCAGGAGCTGCTGGCAGTAATTCCTGGGGAGTCAGTTGTGCCAGGGCTGTGCTCACCACTGTCCTTTCCTCACTGAGCCCCTGCCTCTCCTGACAGGGGACGCTGGAGGGGCTGGAGGAGGAGCTGCTGGCCTTCTTCTCCGTCACCCCCCACTCTGTCTACACTGCACTGATGGATAACAGGTATTTCCCCATCTCAGGGCTCTGGGGTTCCCTGTACCCCAGGCTGCAAAGGAGCTGTGGGAGCACAGGACACCCCTTGGCGTCCCCTCAGCCGGGCCTGGGTCTCCACCTGGGGACCCCCACCTGGCCTGGTCCCCGTGGAGCCCCTGGGGGAGGGAGGCACGTGGGGATCCCTGAGCACTTTGTGCTCCCCATCTGCTCTGTGTGTCCCCGGGAGGGTGGAGGGCAGGGCAGGCTGTGGGACACACTGGTCAGGCTCTAACCCTGTCCCCTCTCCCCCAGCTTTGAGCGGCTCCTGCTCCACGCGCTCTGCCAGTACATGGATCTCGCCTCTGCCAGTAAGAGCCGTGCGTCCGCCTGGTTTTAGTTTTGATTTTGATTTTGTTTTTGTTTTTCCCCTTCCCTCCATCGCTATCTGTCCTCTCCAGCTCAGCCTTTTCCTCCTGCCGGCCCCACCTCGCCCTGGGGCTCACAGATAACCCCGCGATCCCACCCCCCTGCTGCCTCCCCACCAATGCCCGCAGCTCCCTGGGCAATCCCGGCCGTGGTCACCAGCTCTGGCTGCAGCTGCACGCCCAGGGCTCAGCTCTGAGGGGAAATTTGGGTGGTCCAAAGCAAGAATCTGCTCGCGGGGTTCCCTCTCCAGCAGCTGCTTCCTCCTCCCAAGGATCAGCCATGCTCTCCTACTGCCCTGGGCGTCCCCAGAGGTTTTGTTGCCAAGGCAGGGATGGAATCAGGCTCCATCCCTCCAGAGGAGGAGGCTCTGCTGCCGAGCTTTCATTAGCAGGCTTGTGGCAATCAGCCTGAGCGCTAATGACGGGGAGCGAGCCCGTGGTGCCAGCTGGGGACAGAGGGGACAGAAAACAGGGGAGCCTGCGCTCACCACGAGCCCCAGGGAGGAGGGGAGGGCTGGGAGCACCATGCTGGAGACCCCCGAGGCGGGAACAGCGTTGTGCTGACCTCTCCATCCCACCCACAGGTTCGGACATCGAAGGGAAGCGTCAGATGAAAGTGAGCAACAAACGCCGCGTGTTCCTGCCCCCGGAGCTGCTGCTCTCAGACTACCTGGGGCAGATGAGCTGATGCCCCCACGGCTGCCCTGCCCCTCCTGTGTCTGCTGCGGCCTCTCCCGGACCTTCCTCGGCCTTTCCCCTGCTCCAGCAGCCGCTCCAGGCCGGGGGTTTGTGGCTGTGCCGTCGGGCGTGCGGGGAGCAGGGTGGGCAGCACTGGCACGGCTGCGGGTGCCCAGCAGGTGCCTCTCGCCCGCCCCGCTCCCCGCACGGGCCCTCCTGGAACTATTTGTGTGTCTATTTATAACCCAGGTGTTTTTAAAAGTAATCAGGCGGGGCCAGCCTCCCTGCGGCGCTGACGCTCGTGGGGTGATTTCGGTCCAGATTTTTCTGCGGTGAAACAGCTCCCGGCGGCTGCTGAGCAATCGCTGAGCCGGCGGAAGAGCCCGGGGGCTGCCGCGTTCCCGCAGCCCCGTGCCCACCGGGCGTGCAGGGGGCTCGGGCAGGGCGGGGCGCAGGGAGCTCCGGGTACTTTTTACCCCACGCCCTGTGCCCTGCCCGCACCACGGGGCTGTTTTTAAGTGTAATATAGCTTGTGTTTTTTATCACGTGTGTGTATATTTACATGTGTGTGTGTGTGTGTGTGTGTGTGTGCTGGAGGGGTGCAGCCCCCTTTGGGGCTCTCTCTGCTTTTCCACAGCTGCCGTGGCGGCAGACGAGGCATTTTGGGGGTCCCTCTGTGCGCCCCGCCCCCCGTGTCGCTGGCATGTGCCAAGAATTGCTCGCAGGGCGTGCCCTGGTTGCTCTGTCCCACCATGACACCGACTGCCGTTAACCGTGGGCACCCCCAGACCCAGGGGAGCCCCTCGCGCCTCCTTCGCCGGTGTCGCTCGGGCACATTCAGGAACAATAAAAACGGTGCTCCCCTGCTCCGGCTCTGTCTCTGTGTGGCGATGGGGAGGAGGTTGAGGGGGAATCTCGGGGCAGCCGCGTGGGCGCGGGGTGGAAAATGTGGGTGCGGGGAGGTGCGAAAAATATGGAACGCTTCACGAATTTGCGTGTCATCCTTGCGCAGGGGCCATGCTAATCTTCTCTGTATCGTTCCAATTTTAGTATATGTGCTGCCGAAGCGAGCACGAATTCAGCACAACCCGTAGCGCTATTTAAAGCCTTAGGAATGCAATATATTCACAATAGGGTGACTCCAGAGTGGTTCGGTACTGAACGCAGAATGAGTTTCTTCAAGTGTTTCTCAGCCTTTTTCTCCCTAGTTTTCCTCGGATTTTCCCTAAAATGTCCAAAATCCGCCGATTATATACTTCCTATTCTGCCCGGTGCGTTCTGGGTAGTTTGTTATGCTAATTAACCACTGCACGCCTCTCTCTGGGGGTGTCCGCGGCAGTGCCTGAGCGCGCGGCGCAGGCGCGGCACGGGCAGCCCGCGGAGGGGCCGGGGTCCTGGGAGCGGCGGGAGGCGGCGGCGCCGGTGAGTGCTGCCGGGCCGGGACCCGGAACCGCCGGTGCCAGCCGGGCCCCTCTGTGAGCTTCCCGCCAGCCCCGGCCCCCTCTGTGACCTTCCCGCCAGCCCCGAGAGCCTCCGACGCCTCGCCGAGTCCGTCCCCAGGACGCTCCCGCCCGCCGTAGGGTCGGTACCCGCGGGCCGCTCCCTCCGCCTCCCCCCGGGACCGCCGCGGTCTCTCCCGGTGCGGGGCTGTTCCCAGCCGTGTCCTGTGCGCCCCGCTATGGCCCCTGGGGCTGGGGTCCGTGCGGGCCGTTCCCGGTGTGACCGGCCTTGTGTTGCCCCCGCGCAGGACCGAGGCTCTCCGGTGTCCCGTGTCCGGTGTCCCGTTCGGGCCGGGCCGGCGGGATGGACCTGGCCTACGTGTGCGAGTGGGAGAAGAAGCCCAAGAGCAACCACTGTCCCTCCATCCCGCTGGTGTGCGCCTGGTCCTGCCGCAACCTCATCGCCTTCACCACCGACCTCCGCAATGAGGAGGAGAAAGGTACCGCGAGCCCCCGGGAATCCCTCCCGGTGCCCCGGGAAAGGCCAGGATCCGCTGGGCCGGAGCTCTGCCCTGCCCCTGGCAGCTCCCGGCTGCTGCTGCTCCTTTTCCTTCCGTGCCTCAGCCTCTGGAGTGTCCCACACGCGTTTGTTCCCTGGGAGTGCCTTTGTTTCCCTAAAGCACGAGCAGGCTCACCTCGGTGTCTGGCCCCTCACTGCGTTCCCAGCACTACCCCAAATCATTTCCATCAAGTATTTGATGTTCTCCCTGCGTCAGCCGAGGCTCTGAGGCTCAGAAGCAGTGACAAGGGACAGGAGTCACTCCTGTGTTCACACAGATCTCACCCACATGGTTCACATCATCGACACCGAGCACCCCTGGGACGTCTACTCCGTGAACTCGGGCCACACTGAGGTCATCACGTGCTTGGAGTGGGATCAGTCAGGTGGGCTGGTCTCCCTGGCATTGTCACCGTGTCCCAGAGTGTCCCAGGCTGTGATTCCCTGGGGGGTTTTGGCTCTTCCCCCCCTGTTCTCATGCAGTGTCATTGTCACAGGCTCCAGGCTGCTCTCGGCAGATGCTGATGGCCACATCAAGTGCTGGAGCATGACAGATCACCTGGCCAACAGCTGGGAGAACACGGTGGGCAGCGTGGTGGAGGGGGACCCCGTGGTGGCCCTGTCCTGGCTGCACAACGGTGTCAAGCTGGCTCTGCACGTGGAGAAGGTTTGTCTCAGCTTCCTGAGGGATCTGGGCTGGAGCTCTGGCTCAGGTGTTGGCAGAGAGCTCAGGATCCTGCCTGTGTTCTCTTGCGGCCTTGGGGAGGTTTTCCAGTCAAAGAAAAGTCAGATTCCTGGTTCCTGCTGAAGTCTCAGGAGGGTTGGAGCCTGTTGGTGTTTCAGATGTGTCTCCCTCAGTCTGGATCCTCAGTTTTAGGCAGGAACATGGCGACAGAGCAGTTCTTTCCTCAGCAGTGGTGATTCAGAGGAAATGCATTCGGGGTGCCAAGGTCTGATCCGAGGATTTGGTCACAGAGATGAGCTCCTGGTTTGGAAACCCCTGTGATCCTGCAGGCTCTGAAAGCCCAAAGCTGCCAAGCACAGCTTCCCCGCTTGTGTTTTTTTACCTCCTGTGATGTCCCACATAAATCCTGCCCCTCTCCCACCAGAAGAGCTCCACGGGCGCAAATTTTGGCTGCCAGCACTTAACTTCTGCTCACCTCTCTTACAGTCTGGAGCCTCCAACTTCGGCGAGAAGTTTTCCCGGGTGAAGTTCTCTCCGTCGCTGACTCTGTTTGGCGGGAAGCCCATGGAGGGCTGGATTGCTGTGACCATCAGCGGGCTGGTCACCGTGTCCCTCCTCAAGCCCAACGGGCAGGTGCTGACGGCCACCGAGAGCCTGTGCCGCCTGCGCTGCCGCGTGGCCTTGGCCGACGTCGCCTTCACGGGCGGGGGCAACATCGTGGTGGCCACGTCCGACGGCAGCAGCACGTCCCCCGTGCAGTTCTACAAGGTGTGTGTCAGCGTGGTGAACGAGAAGTGCAAGATTGACACCGAGATCCTGCCCTCGCTCTTCATGCGCTGCACCACCGACCCCGCGCGCAAGGACAAGTACCCGGCCATCACCCACCTGAAGTTCCTGGCTCGGGACATGTCAGAGCAGGTGGGCAGCTGCTCTTTGCTCCACCTGGCCTTCCTCAGAGGGCTGGAGGTGGCCAGCATGTCCTGCGGTACCCTTGGCATTCCTGGAATTAGGGACTTCACCTCGCACTGGTTTGATCCTCTGCTTTTTGCTGGTGGAGCATGACCTGAGTGGGAGCAGGACCCTGGAAATGGAGGGTGGGAATGACCAGGGCAGTGTCCTCCCTCTTGTGATGCTTGTGGTGGGGGGTTCTGTTCCACAGGTGCTGCTTTGTGCTTCCAACCAAAACAACAGCATTGTGGAGTGCTGGTCCCTGAGGAAGGAGGGCCTGCCTGTCAACAACATCTTCCAGCAAATCTCTCCTGTGGGTAAGTGTCTGCTCTGGGCACTCTCAAGAACAGGAGCTTGGTCTGAGGGAAAAAGCAGCTCAGTTTCTCACATCTATTATCCCATATATGGGATTACTCATGTTTATTTTCAGGTGTCCTCAGTCCATTCTGTCTATTTGCATCATAGGCAGCAACTTGCTGTTTCCAGGAAGGGGTTTGGTTGTTGCTTTCGCTTCATAAAAGATTTTAAAAGATTTTTTTGTGTTTTGCTGCACAGCCGCCCTTCCTGCCACCAGTGGAGCAAAAGCTCCCAAAGGACCAGCACTGAGCAGCAGAGCTGGATTAATCCCCTGCTCTGGCTGCCTGGGCTTCACCTGATCTCAGATAAAACAGAATTAATCAGGGCAGTTTGTTTGGTGAAATATAAAGGATTATTGTATATAAGGATCTTAGTCACCCGCAGCAGAGCTTCCCATCAAGAGAGATTTAGCAAAACATGTTGTTTGTGTAACTCAGGAAAAAAATTGGGAGCTGTGAGGGAAACGTACTGGAAGTATATGGGAAATATACCAGTGCCTGGGCAGACATGAGGGGCAGATTTTCTGATCTCTGTGGGACAAAATTCCCACTCATTTTCTTCTTTTCCCCAGTGGGAGACAAGCAGCCCATGATCCTGAAGTGGCGGATCCTGTCTGCCACCAACGACCTGGACCGGGTGTCGGCCGTGGCGCTGCCAAAGCTGCCAATCTCCCTGACCAACACCGACCTGAAGGTGGCAAACGACACCAAGTTCTTCCCTGGACTGGGTAAGGAGTTGTCTTCACCCTAAACAAGTGACTTTTGCTTGGAATTTCACCACCTGAGCTGCAGCTGAAGTAAAGCACGTGGAATGCTGAGGGAAAACTTTCACCCTTGTGGGGAGAGGCTGTGAAATGCTGTGAGCCCCCGGCCCTTTGGCTTCTCCATGGGCTTCAGTGGTGGCCACTGCTTTGGGCGAGGGCTTTGCCACGCTGGGAGGAGCTGTTTGCTCAGCCTCACTTGTCTCCTGTCCCCAGGCCTGGCCTTGGCTTTCCACGATGGCAGTGTCCACATCGTGCACCGGCTGTCCCTGCAGATGATGGCCGTGTTCTACGGCTCCTCCTCGCAGCGCCCCGTGGACGAGCCAGCCCTCAAGCGCCCACGCACCACGGGGCCCCTGGTGCACTTCAAGGCCATGCAGCTCTCCTGGACATCACTGGCCCTGGCTGGTGTGGACAGTCACGGGAAGGTTGGTGCTCTCTTCTGGATGTAGGGATGTGCCGCCTGTGGACGGAGTGACAAAGTTATCCTTTGTCTCCTAAAAAAGGAAAAAAGCCCAGAAGTTTCTCTCCTCATGGGACCTTGGGGACTTCACTTCAAACTTAAGGATAGCCAATTGGACAGAAGGCAAAAAGTCCAGCCTAAGCAATTTACTAGAAAAAGAAGAGAACAAAGAAACTAATAGCTTTTGTGAGGTGTTTTACCAGACTCTTGCCCTGGCTCTGGTTTTCTCTGTAAAGAGCTCTGTTATTTTGCCTTTTATTAAAACTTTTCTGTTTCCAGCACTGCCACATAAGCCATCCTGCTGATTTTGTGGCTGGGCTATCTTGAGTGTGGTATAAATCTCCAAGAGCTTATAACACCTGGCTAGAAGTGACCCTGTATCATATGGTGGGGTTGTTTCTCAGCCAGGCTCTCTCAGGGTTGATGGGTTGCTCAGGAAACAGTGGGAATTCCAGCTGTGAGATCCATATTGGAAAGGGATGTATCCCATCAGTGCAGAAACTGTCACTAGGTCAGAATTGAGTTTCATTAGGCCCCATGGTGTGTTGTAGCTTTGTGGGACGATTTCAAGCCCACTCCTGAAGTTTCCCTTTGGTTCCTCCCTTCCAGCTGAGCATGCTCCGCATCTCCCCCTCCATGGGCCACGTGCTGGACATGAACATGTCCCTGAGGCACTTGCTGTTCCTGTTGGAGTACTGCATGGTGACCGGCTACGACTGGTGGGACATCCTGCTCCACGTCCAGCCCAGCATGGTGCAGAACCTGGTGGAGAAGCTGCACGAGGAGTACATGCGTCAGAACGCGGCCCTGCAGCAGGTGAGTGGGTGGGTGGGAGCTCTGGGCTCACTCCCAGGGTGGGCATGGAGGGGCTCAGGGACTTGGAGCGAGGAACAGCCAGTGCCAGTCCTCAGGACATGGGTGGCTCTGCCTGGCTGTGCTCTGTGAGTGCCCTGCTCGGGCAGTGATGGAGCTGGGAAGGGCTTCCATGTCAGCAGCATTCACTTTCCCTGATATTAGCAGGGTCTTAGCTGCTGGAAACTTGGGGTGAGATGGTGAAATCTATTTTTGGCAGATTCTGGGAGCAGCAGCACGTGCCCAGCACAGCGCTCACGTGCATGGCATTCACTGCTCTTGTCACTCCTGCAGCAGAAAGGGAGAGCAGAGAATAAAGAATAAAGCAGCAGCAGCTCTAATGAGCTTATGCTAATTCCTGCCTTTTTTTGTGCCTTTTGCTGCGTTTCCCTGTGGCTCAGGTGCTCTCCACACGCATTGTTGCCATGAAGGCATCCCTGTGCAAGCTCTCCTCCAGCACCATTGCCCGTGTGTGTGACTACCACGCCAAGCTCTTCCTCATCGCCATCAGCTGCACCCTGAAGTCGCTGCTGCGCCCACACTTCCTCAACACCCCTGACAAGAGCCCCGGGGACCGGCTCACCGAGATCTGCTCCAAGATCACGGATGTAGGTACTGACTGCTCACTGCCTTCCCAGAGTCTGGGATTGTTGGACTGCTCCCCGTGGAGTTACAGTCTCTCAGTAACTCCTGCGTTTGAGGAGGAGGACAAGGGTGACCTCCACAGGGAGGGTTTGAGGTTTGGATCCATCCTCCTGAGCCAGGCAATGTCTTGCTTCTCTTCCAGACATTGACAAGGTGATGATTAACCTGAAGACAGAAGAGTTTGTCCTGGAGATGACGACGTTGCAGTCCCTGCAGCAGCTCATCCAGTGGGTGGGGGATTTTGTGCTCTACCTGCTGGCCAGCCTCCCCAACCAGGTGAGACCTGGAGTGCTGGGAACGTGCTGAGAGGACACAAACACCTATGGGCAGTGCTGGGGCTTGAGCTTCGTTGGGCCCCCTGTTGTGTTGTGGCTTTGTGGGACGATTTCAAGCCCAGTCCTGAAGCCAGTTTCCCTTTGCTGGGGCGCACAGGGCCACATGTCAGCACAGGCACTGGGGAGGAGTAAGGAACAGCAGAATTAGAGAATGGTCCTTCCCCATGCCCGTCTGGGTCTGGTGACCATCACAGTACCTGGGGGATTTGGGGACCCTCCTCTTGCAGCTCTGCAGAGGTGTCACCTTCAGGTGACCCTCCACCATCCCCAGCAGCAGATTCCATAGGGTGTGTGCTGCTGGAAGCAGGAGCTGTCTGGATGCAGTGTGGTGGCTGGGGATGGTGTGAGCCCACCCAGGCCGGTGTGAGCCCACCCAGGCCGGTGTGAGCCCCACCCAGGCCGGTGTGAGCTCCACCCAGGCCGGTGTGAGCCCGCCCAGGCTGGTGTGAGCCCACCCAGGCCGGTGCCACCCCCAGCCACGCCGCTGTCCCCCGCAGGGCTCCCCGGTGCGCCCTGGGCACAGCTTCCTGCGCGACGGCGCGTCCCTGGGCATGTTCCGGGAGCTGATGGTGGTCATCCGCATCTGGGGGCTGCTGAAGCCCAGCTGCCTCCCCGTGTACACAGCAACCTCGGACACCCAGGACAGCATGTCCCTGCTCTTCCGCCTCCTGACCAAGCTCTGGCTGTGCTGTGAGTGTGGCCGGTTCCCTGAACAGTAATTCCTGCAGCAGTGGGGTGGGACGTGACTCCGAGGGGGTCTGGCACGTTGAGAAAGGGCAAGTGCAGCTGCCAAGGTTATTGTTTTCCAGGCTGAGTTGGCAGTGGAGGAGGAGCTGCACGCAGCTCTGAGGGAGAAGTGTAAAGGTCACAGGGTTTTTTTCCTTCATTTCCCACGCAGGTCGTGAGGAAAATCACATCACAGAGCCCGATGATGCCCTGATCGACGAGTGCTGCCTCCTGCCCAGCCAGCTGCTCATTCCCAACATTGACTGGCTGCCCATCAACGATGGCATCATCAGCAAGCTGCAGAACAAGCAGCTGGTCCGGCTGCAGTTTGGGAAGGCTCCCGGGCTCGTTGGCCACACTGTCTCTTCCCAGTTCGATGCCTTTGTCAGGTACATGTTGTTTATATAATTCAGGGAAAAAATAGGGAACTATGAGGGAAACGTACTGGAAATATGTGGGAAATATACCAGTGCCTGATCTGTGATCTGTTTGAGTCAGCGCATGGTGAGAAGGAGTCTTGGCAGCTCTGAGGTTTGGCTTGTCTTCTTGCTGCTGTGACCCAAGAGCAGTTTGTCCTCTCTGCTCAAATCCCTTTCTCAGCTTGTGACAGGCTGGGAATTTTAAGTACTGAAAAGTGATAGCAAATGGTCAGGGAAAAACCCCATTAATTAATGTGATTAATTGTGACATTGTGACAGTGAATCTCGTGATCAGAGGTGGGCAAGTCGGCAGAACCTCTGCCATGCTGGCCAGTGAGATGCAGCTCCCTGTCCTGGGAGCAGCTCGTGGAAAGTGACACTCTAGGAAAGTCCTGTTCTCCCTCCCCAGGGCCCCTGGACAGCCCAAAATTGACCACCTGAGGCGGCTGCACCTGGGTGCATACCCAACAGAGGAATGCAAGTCCTGTACCAGGTAAGTGACACTTGCAGTGGAGCTTGGGCAGGACTTGGACTGTCCTTGTCCTTCAGGAGCTCTCTGAGACTGGTTGGGGCTGTGGTTAAGGTGTCCCCAGCCTGGGGTGCCCATGTCATTGTCAGGAGAGTGGCATTGTTGTAGCCTGGCCCTTGGGTTAAAAATCCAACAGATCAGATAAAACTCTTTAAGTAATGTGGCCTGGAGGAGAGCCTACAGCAACTCCTTATGCCCAGTTCTGTGGGTCTGGACATTGAAGCACCTGTGTGGTCATGGCAGGGCTGGAGGGAGGAGTCACCCCACTGCCCCTGCTCCCATTTTGGGGTCATCTTTCCACCAGGCTTGCATTTCATGCTGCCCTACTCATCCACCCTCATGGGAGAGCCTGGATTTCAGGATAATGGCTCAGGGAACAAGCATCCATCTAAGTCATGTGATTGAATTAGCTTTAATTACTGATTTTAATAGAAAGCCTCTGTAGCAATCATTTTTGTGAGATGACTGTCACTTGTTTCATGTATAAACAGCAGCTGGGGCTGTTCCTTGCCAGGCTCCAGCTCCAGCAGAGCCCTCAGTGGGATTGCTGCTCGCTGGTTTCAGCTCGTTTTGGTGCTCACAAGTGTCACCTGCAGATGACAGGAGCTGTTTCCCCCATGGATCCCTGTGTGATCCATGCAGCTCCCCAGCAGTGCTGGCTCTGCACTGGGCTGGCTGCACCCTCCATGTCCCCCCAGGTGTGGCTGTGTCACCATGCTGAAGTCACCCAACAAGGTGACAGCAGTGAAGCAGTGGGAGCAGCGCTGGATCAAGAACTGCCTGTGTGGGGGGCTGTGGAGGAAGATGCCCCTCAGCTACTCCTGAGCCCTTCCTGGGGTGCAGTGAGGGCCAAGAGCTGCACAGGGCTCCCTTCATGGAGGTTTTGGGACAAGGGAATGGCAGCTCCTCTCCCTCGTGCTGCAAAAGCTGCTGCTGCTCGACCTTGGTTGAGCTGTGCTGGAAAACAGAGCTGAGGGAGCTCTGCCTCTTAGCAGGGAAGAGCTGGAGAGGAATGCCAGAGGTTTCCCCCTCATTTGGGGCCCAGGAGGGAGAGCCTGGCTGTGTTTTGTGTCTGTGCCAGCAGAGCAGTGATGTCCTGGCAGCTGCCCTGGCCTGGGCAGTGGTGATGGGGCAGCTGGTGAGAACAAAGTCCCAGCTGAGGGGGGCACAGCTGGTACCTCACATCCATCCTGTGCCTCCAGCTACTTGGGAAGTGCCACGTGGGCTGGGCACTCCTGATCCCTCAGCAAACTTGTCCCTGAGACAGGAGTTGGCTCCTGTGTGCCCATCAGTGTTGGATGGGAGCAGGAATATATGCCCTGCCCTGCCCCTCACTCCAGCTGCTGCCTGGAGTGAACCCTGTCCTTGCCTCTTGCTGTTGTAAATAAAAATTCTCCTGATTTTGTACAGAAGCATGTGGCTTGTTTCTGTGGTGTGACGTGGCTGCCCAGTGTGGGGCTGGGGCAGTGGAGCCACGGGAGGGCTGCCAGAGCATCTGTCAGGAAAGGAACCACCATCATTGGAAAAAGGGGAAATGGATGTTTTCAAGGTTCACCTTATGGACACTCGAGGAAAAAAAAATCAGATCCTTGGGGTTGTGCAAGCCTCCAGCTTCAGCAAGGCTGGACACTTGAGCATACCAGAGGAGGAACATCCTGGTGCAGCCAAAAATCAGATTTTTGCCCTGCCTTGCCCTCGGCTGCTGCTGCCCTGAGCAGGAAATCACAACCTCCTGGAGCCAGCGTGGCTGTGCCTGGGGAGCCCCAGCCCTGGGGCTGATCTGGGCCTGCTCCTCTCCCACGGGTCCTTCAGCTCTTAGGGGGATAAACCTGGAGCCTTCTGCTGCTGCATCCCAGCCAGCAATTCCCGGTCCCCACAGACCGTTTAAGAGGGGGAGTGAGCCAGTCTTAGTACGTTCCTTTCCCTCTGGAGCCATGATTTCATTATTCTTGAGAACTGGAGCTGGTGACAAGAGTTCATCCCTAGACTCCAGCAAATGTTTCACTGCACAGAGCTGTAAGAGCTGTACAGACCTCTCCCCCTCTCTGCTCTGCTGGTAATTAGGGACAATCAAATGGCTAATTAGGAAACTGCACCTTATTAAGACTCTTTTCCCCTGTAAGTAAAATTCAAACCAGGCCCTCTGTGAGTCCTCATAGAACAGGTTTGGGGTTATTTAATGTTTGATTTGGAACAGGGAACAGCAGCAGAGCAGGGGGATGGAGACACATTCGTGTCCCCCTCAGCCCCCTGCTGACCACGGAGCTCCTGGGATGGGACTGGAAGGGTCTGGCAGTCCCCTGGGGCCCTGCTGCTCCCAGCTCTTGTGCCTTGGCCCTGCTCCCTCCAAAGACAGGGCTGTGGGAGAGCAGGGCTCTGGAGGTGACCAGAGTGTGGTGGGAAGATGGCTCTGCCCTGCCCTGCCCCTCAGCTCCTGCAACCAGAGGGTCCCAGTGAGAATCCTGCAGGGTTCCAGCACGGATCCCACCGTGGGAGCCAGAGCTGGCACTGCCATATCAGCAACAGGCAGGTTCTGCTTTCCCAAATGTTCACACAGTGACCCTGTGGGAGGCCCCAGATCTCCATGGTGGTGTGGCTACACTGCAGGATGTGTCCCCTGCTCCCACCCGAGGCCACGCCGTCCCCAAGGACACAACCTCAGCATGTCCCACCCCATGTCCAGCTCCCCCCTGGGCAAGGGGTCCTGCACAGACCCCCCCAGCTCCCTCCTCCTCCCCACTCCTCCAGCCCAGCAGCTCTGCAGGAATCATCATCACTTTATTGCAGCGGTCGCGGGCAGCGTTCTGGGCACCTTCAGCAAAGCCTGTTGAGGGCTGTGACCCCCAATTCTCCCCCACCTGGGCCCTCTGCTTTGTGAGTGGGGGGCCAGGGACCCCCTTCCTTCGTTCTTCACCAGTCCCCTGGCCCAGCCCTCCTCCTGGCTTGTGGGGACACCTTGGCAGCGGGGTGGGCAGCGGTGGGAGCCCGTGGCACGCGGTGGGGCGGCACTGTGGGCGCTCTGGCCGTGCTGGCAGCAGCAAGCCGTGGCAAGGAGCAGGTCCCTGGGGTGCCCTCAGCGAGCGTCCCCCTCCCCGTCGGCGGCAGAGGCCATGACGCTGTCGATCCAGGCCGTGTAGGGGGCGATGCGGGTGTAGATGGCCGGCTTCTTGTAGTTCCCACAGACGCGGGATCCGGCCGTGACCACCCCCTCGGCCACCCCGCCACAGACCAGGGGTCCACCGGAGTCTCCCTGCAGGACCAGACCTCATCAGCATGGCCAAGGGTTTGCTAGGACACCCCAGCACAAGGGGCACCCACCCCGGGGAGACGCTGTCCCCTCCCGCTCCGCAGCCCCCCGCCTCTCCCAGGCTGTGGGCGTTGTGCCCGTCGCCCCCTCGCAGCCCCCCATGGATCCGCGGCGGGTGTGTGGTACCTTGCAGGTGTCCTTCCTGCGGGAGTCGGTGCACATCATGTTGTGGGTGACGGTGCCGTCGTGGCGGGTGCGGTGGTTGCAGACGTCGCGGCTGATCACCGGCCGCTCCACCTGCTGCAGCCTGTCGGGCCGGGTGCCGCTGTGGTCCGTGGTGCCCCACCCTGCCACCTCGCACACCGTGTCGGCAGCCACGTCCCTGTCCTCCCGCTGGAAGGGCAGCACCCGCACGTCCGTGTTCAGCTCCGCTTTCTCCTCCAGCTGCCGCAAAGCCACAGGGGACCCGGGTCACAGGGGCAGCGGTGCCCGGCAGAGCCCTGCCCTGACACCGAGACCGCCCTGGCCTCAGCCACGCTCAGGGCTTTGCCTTCTGATTGGAGCCCCAGGTACCACAGCCCCCCAGCCAAACACCAGAGCTGGAGCTGTGAGGAGGATGGAGGCATTTGGACACAGCTCACAGCTTTGCTGGGGGAAGCAGGGATGGTCCCATGGGACAGGGAGGGATGGCCCAGCCTGACCATGAGGATTTCCTCCGGCAGTCAGTGACCCTGCAGCGTGCCAAGGGACGGTGGGATTTGCAGGAATGGGGCTGTGCCTGGTGGGGAGGAGGGTCCCACCAGCCACCAGCCCACCTGGAGGAGGAGCAGGTCATCCTTGTTGTTGTGGATGTTGCTGCCAGGGTGGGGGAACTGGGCGCGCACTTGGTACAGGCGTTTGTGGGGCTCCGGCTGCGACAGCGAGTGGGCACCCAGCAGCACCTGGAAGAGTTTGCCATCCCTGGAAGAGAGTCAGAGTGTGGGACAAACAGCTGGGGCTGTCACTGCACCCAGCCATGGAAATGGGGTGCTGAGGGGGGTTGAAGAGCCCAGCAGGGAGCTCCGGGAGACCCTACAGCCGCTGCCCAGTCCTCCCTGCAGGTGGGAGCTGAGTGCCACGCTCTGGCACTGGGGTCGAGGCTCTGGAGTGGGATTTGGCCCGAGTCCAGCAGCCCCCCCAGCCGTGCCCTGACCCCCAGCCCCACTCACGTCTCCTCGGTGCAGTGGGCAGCGCTCAGCACCCACTGCTCGGCGATGAGGAAGCCCCCGCAGACGTGCTGCCCGTCCAGCTGCAGCGAGGCCATGTACGGCTTCAGGTGGGGCCTGGCTTCGGAGCCCCTCAGGATCCGGCCCCGGGGCTGCCCTGCAGGAGAGAGGCCGGGATGAGGGGCTCAGGGAAGTGTCACTCCCGTGGTCCCTTCCCGGATCCCTGGACCCTTCCTTGTGGGCTGCACCAGCACCTGGCCGCAGGTGGAGGCAGAACTGGGGAGCTGGGCAGGCACCCCGGTGCTGTGTCAGCGCCCTGGGGTGCGGGGGGAGCACTCACCATTCACCGGGGCCCAGAGGAGCAGCAGCAGAGCCAGGACAAGGACGGGAGCAGGGCTCGGCCCCATGGCTGCAGAGCCTCTGCCCGGCTGGGGGTGTGCGGGGGTTTTGGGGTGCTTGGGGGCTGCGGGACGCTGCTCACCCGGGGCCGGGGCTGGGACTCGCTTTTATGTCCAGTTTGGGGAGGAGGGGGGGGGTTTCCGCAGCGTGGGCTGAATATTTTGAAATGTTCAGCTTATAAAAGGGGTCAAGAGTTCCCGGCACAAACAGCGCGGGAGGAGGAAACAGCCCGGCCCAGCTGCCGGCCCTGGCACCAGCCGCCGGGGATTTCTGCGCCGGGATTTTTAATGCCGAAGAAGTTCAGGCTTTTGGCAAAAGAAAGCTCCGGCAAATTCTATCCCCGCCCTCCCAGGAGCAGGGGCCCCCTCCCGGCATGGGGGGCCGGTCCCTGGTGGGCGCTGGGTGCCAGCTCGGTGGGTGCCCAGGGACACAAACCCGTCCCGTCACCCCTGCCCCGAGGAGGTCCCCGCAGGGCTGGGGGGGTGATGGCAGCCACCGGGGCGGTGTCCGGGATGCCGGTGGCCGTGGCAGCCCCGGTCCCCTCTGCCTTTCTCCCCGGTGCCACTAAGCGGAGCCACCGCCTCGTCTCCCGCCCGGTCCCGGCGCTCGGAGCCGCCCGGAGCCCCCTCCCGGGCTCGTCCCCGGAGCCTCTCACGGCGCCTCGAGATCTCGCTACCTTCCCCCATTTTCCAGGATGGCCACCGTGGCTACCCACAGCTGGGACGGAGCGGGGCTCCAGGGGACACCCCGCGAGGGGCTGGCGCCCACCCTCTCCTTCTTTCCCTGCTCCACGAGCTTTTCCAGCCCCGAGCTGCCGCATTCCCTTTGTCCGGCTGCGCAGACCCCCCCATCGCCCCGACCTCTGACCCCCCGACCCCCCAGGCCAGTGGTCAGCGGGTGGCCGGGGACATCGGCGAGGAGGGAGCCGGGCGCTGGGGGTCCCCGGAGGCTCGGGTGTCCCTCTGCAGTGGTGGCTTCGCCTCCCCGCTGTCCCCACGTGCTGGTGGCACACGCTGGGCAGGGTCGGGGCAGTGTGGTGGCGTCCTGGGAAGGGGCTGAGCCCGGCTCAAAGCAGGGATTTTCCGCAGGGAGAGCAGCTTAATCGCAGCTTGCAGGGATTCGGGATTTCGGTGTTAAATGCGCCGGGAGATTTCTGCCCACTTAGGGCCAAAAATGGAACGAGGGCACACACGGTGTGGAGCCCGGGCTGCTCAGACCCGGGACAGGACCGTGGGAGGGTGGTGGGGGGAACAAGTGAGTGTGGGGTGCAGGGAATGGGGTGCAGGGTGGGATGTGGGGTTGGGCACAGCCGGGATCCTCTGCAGGGTCAGGACAGGGGCAGGTGGGGCTGGGGGGCTGCTGCCTCTGCCACGAGGTGTTGGGAGCCTCCAGAAAGCAAAGGGAGCTGCACCCAGCTCCCCAGCCCCAAATCTGGGAGACACAAGGCTCCTGCTTGAGGAGTCCTTGGCACAAGGCTCCTGTTGAGGGTGTCCCCGGCACCGTCCTGGGGCACTGGTGACTGAGGGTCCGGGACTGCCCCGAGTCACCCCCTCTGAAGCCCTCGGGTGCCACGGGCAGGGCAAGCACTCCCCGGCCGACAGAGCTCTGGGGGTGTGAGTTTGGGGGTCACGCACCCCCTGTTGTGTCCCCCCCCGCTTGGCCACCCCTCGGGTCCCCACAAGCCAAGGCAGGGGAGGGGGCTCTGCCGGCCAGGAGGGGACTTGGGGCAGGGGGCACCCCCCCCCGCAGCATAGGGGGACAAGGGTTGATCGGGGGGCTCGGCAGTGGAGGCAGCCCGGGCTGGGGGCGGCCCCGGGACCCCCCCCAGTGCCCGGGCACGGTCGGGGGTGCGGAGCGGTGCGGAGAGAGCTCGGTCCCGCCGCTGTCCCCGGCCCCGCCCGGCTCTTTGTCTCGCTTCGTTCTCCTCCCCGACCTCCCGACCCCCTCGGGACCCCCCCGGACCCCCATCCCTGGACCGACGAGGGCTCGAAGGGGGCTCGGCGGGGGCTCGACGCTCCGGGAGGGGCCGGGGGCTGCGGGGCGGAGCGGGGGGCGGCGGGCGAGGGAGGAGGAGAAGGAGGAGGAGGAGGAGGAGGCGGCGGGGGCGGAGGAAGCCGCCGCTCCCCGCGCTCCGCCGAGGCAGGAGCATCCCGGATCCCGGGGACATCCCCCCCTCGCCGCCGCTACCGCCGCCCCCCGCCCCGCCGCGCCCCGGGGCCGCCGCTGAGGTGAGTGGGGCGCACGGACGGGCACAAAGGGCCGCTCCTCCTCCCCCGACACCCCCTCCCATCCCTCGGCCCCGACCCCCGCCCGCGGCTGCGGCACGGTCCCTGCGAAGGGGAGGTTCCCCGCTGCGCCCCCGCCCTCCCGGTTATACCCCCGGTTAATCCCCCGTTATTTCCCCCTCCATCCCCGTTATCCTCCCCCCTCGTTTCGCAGCTCGGTGCAATCCCGTGGGGCTGGGCCGGCAGGGTTCGGGGATCCCCATCCCCGGCCCGGCTCTGCGGGCGGCACACCCCCCTCTGCACGCTCTCCGCAGCAGCCTCGCCGCCTGTCGCGGTGGTGACCGCCTGTCGCGACAGACGAGCCTCCGCCCCACCTGTTGTCACAGCCCCTGGCTCTGCTGGGCACCCCCCGGGGCACTGGGGGCCACCCCCGCGGGCGCTGGCACCCCCAGTTCCAGCTGTGTCTCTCTGGTGAGCAGGGGCAGTGCTGTGACCTGGGGGTGACCGGGGGTGACACGGGGTGCCCCTGCAGGCCCGGGTGGTGGCTCGGGGGTGCT